GTGGTAGAATGTGCATTTGGACGTTTAAAGGCGCGCTGGTGCAGTTTACTGACTCGCTTAGACCTCAGCGAAACCAATATTCCCACTGTTATTACTGCTTGCCATGTGCTCCACAATATCTGTGAGAGTAAAGGGGAGACGTTAATGGCGGGGTGGGAGGTTGAGGCAAATTGCCTGGCTGCTGGTTCCGTGCAGCCGGACACCAGGGCGGTTAGAAGAGCACAGGAGGGTGCGGTACGCATCAGAGAAGCTTTAAAAACTAGTTTCATGACTGGCCAAGCTACGGTGTGAAAGTTCTGTTTGTTTCTCCTTGATGAAACCCCCCGCCCCTTGGTTCACTCTACTTCCCTGTAAGCTAACCACCTTCCCCTCCTCCCTTCAGTCACCGCTTGCAGAGGCAATAAAGTCATTGTTGCTTCACATTCATGCATTCTTTATTCGTTCATCACACAAATAGGGGGATGACTACCAAGGTAGCCCAGGAGGGGTGGTGGAGGAGGGAAGAAAAATGCCACACAGCACTTTAAAAGTTTACAACTTTAAAATTTATTGAATGCCAGCCTTCTTTTTTGTGGGCAGTCCTCTGTGGTGGAGTGGCTGGTTGGCCGGTGGCCCCCCCACCGCGTTCTTGGGCGTCTGGGTGTGGAGGCTATGGAACTTGGGGAGGAGGGCTTGGTTACACAGGGGCTGTAGTGGCAGTCTGTGCTCCAGCTGCCTTTGCTGCAGCTCAACCATACACTGGAGCATACTGGTTTGGTCCTGCAGCAGCCTCAGCATTGAATCCTACCTCCTCTCATCACGCTGCCGCCACATTTGAGCTTCAGCCCTGTCTTCAGCCCGCCACTTACTCTCTTCAGCCCTCCACCTCTCCTCCCGGTCATTTTGTGCTTTCCTGCACTCTGACATTATTTGCCTCCACGCATTTGTCTGTGCTCTGTCAGTGTGGGAGGACAGCATGAGCTCGGAGAACATTTCATCTCGAGTGCGCTTTTTTTTCTTTCTAGGCTTCACTAGCCTCTGGGAAGGAGAAGATCCTGTGATCATTGAAACACATGCAGCTGGTGGAGGAAAAAAAAGGGACAGCGGTATTTAAAAAGACACATTTTATAAAACAGTGGCTACACTCTTTCAGGGTAAACCTTGCTGTTAACATTACATGCATAGCACATGTGCTTTCGTTACGAGGTCGCATTTTGCCCCCCCCCCCTGTGGCTACCCCTCAACCTTCCCCCTCCCTGTGGCTAACAGCGGGGAACTTTTGTTGCCGCGGGAACCCCGGTGGGCTCCCTGCCCCCCCTCAGACCGGATCCCCTCCCTGTGGCTACACAGCCTTCGACTAAAGGGAACATTTCTGTTTAGCCGCAGGCAAACAGCCCAGCAAGAATGGGCTCCTCTGAATGTCCCCTGAAGAAAAGCACTCTATTTCAACCAGGAGACCATGAATGATATCCCCCCCCCGGCGGGGGGCCCCCCGCGGGGGCTTGGGGTTTTTTTCTTCTTCGGGGGCCCCCTCGCCCCCCCCGGATCGGCGGTGTGCTTCCCAAATCCGGGAGGGGCAACCGAAGGTCCGTTTCCGAAGGCCTTAGTCTTTCCCCCTCTCTCCCTCCCGGGGCCCCCCGGCGGGGGAGGGGGGGGGGGGCAGGGGGGGGGGAGAGGGGGGGGGAAGACGGGGACAGGGGCGGGGGGGGGTTCGCCAACCTCCCGGGGTTGCGCCAAGGCGCCACCCCCCCCTCTACCATAAATATTTTATTGATTTATTTTTTTCTTTTTTGGGTTTTTTTTGTGTTAGGGGGGGGGGGGGGAGGGAAAATTTTATTTTTCTGTTCCCTTATTTTTTCATTATTGTTTATATACTTAATTTTTTTTATATTTGTTTTATTATTTTTTGGTTTTTGTGGGTCCTTTGTTTTTGTCTCTTTACAAGTTACTTATTTATTTTATTGGTTATTTCCAAGTTAGGGGGGGGAGAATAGGGGGATTTGGTAAAATATTGTTGTTTTGGAAAAGGGTTTTTGTTGTATTATTTTGTCTTTCTGTGGTGTAGTTATTAGGGGTGAAAAATATTTTTTTTTCTTATTTTTATTTTGGATTTTGTAGTATATTTTTGTTGGGTGTATAAAAGTCAAGTTTATTGTTTTTGAAAAGAAATTTTTTTTTGGGGGGGGGGGGGAAAAGAAATTTTTGCCCCAGTCATTGTGATTTACACTTCAGTATTGTTTTTTTACATGGGAGAAGGGTTGTTGGGGAAAATAAAAAGGGGGTGTTTACAAATTTAGAAGGGGTTCAAAAAATAATTTTGTCCTTATTGGGAGAAGGTTAGTCCTTGATTGATACATTATTTATGTTTTTGTAAGTGTAGTGTGTTAAAGAATGTCCCTAGAAGGGGGGGGGGAGAATGATAAAAAAATCTGGTCTATTTTTGTTTTGACCCACTCCATCTATCTTTTACATCTTTGGTAAAGGAAAGAAAAATTCATGATAAAGATTACAGTAATGAATGGCTAATAAGATTAATAGAATAAAAAAAATGATTCAAGTACTAAATTTATCTTGCATTAGGTCTGATCGATCAAAGAAAATAGAATAGATACATATTAGTTTGAAAGAAGGGTTTTATTGAATTAAGAGAATAGGTGTTATGAGCAGTATGATGTGCATAATAGGAAAAAGGGAAATGATTGTTGTTTACGGGGGAGGGGGGAGGAGGATATGTACCAAACAAAATTTTACCCATAGGATTGTTAAAATAATGGGAGGTGGTGTGGTAAATATGTTGTGATAATTAATTAGATTTTGGGGGATAATTTATAAAACGATTTTAAAAATATAAAAATTACCCTCACTCTCCTGAGGATAACACAGAGAGATAAAGAACAGATGTTGTTTGAACGCCAGCAAACATACACTGCAATGCTTTGTTGTACAATGATTCCCGAGTACGTGTTACTGGCCTGGAATGGTAAAGTGTCCTACCATGAAGGACACAATAAGGCTGCCCTCCTCAGAAACCTTTTGCAAAGGCTTTGGGAGTACATCCAGGAGAGCCGCGAATGCCAGGACAAAGTAATCCTTTCACATGCTTGCTTTTAAACCATGTATAGTATTTTAAAAGGTACACTCACCGGAGATCCCTTCTCCGCCTGCTGGGTCCAGGAGGCAGCCTTAGGTGGGTTCGGGGGGTACTGGCTCCAGGTCCAGGGTGAGAAACAGTTCCTGGCTGTCGGGAAAACCGGTTTCTCCGCTTGCTTGCTGTGAGCTATCTACAACCTCCTCCTCATCATCATCTTCTTCGTCCCCAAAACCTGCTTCCGTATTGCCTCCATCTCCATTGAAGGAGTCAAACAACACGGCTGGGGTAGTGGTGGCTGAACCCCCTAAAATGGCATGCAGCTCATCATAGAAGCGGCATGTTTGGGGCTCTGACCCGGAGCGGCCATTCGCCTCTCTGGTTTTCTGGTAGGCTTGCCTCAGCTCCTTCAGTTTCACGCGGCACTGCTTCGGGTCCCTGTTATGGCCTCTGTCCTTCATGCCCTGGGAGATTTTGACAAAGGTTTTGGCATTTCGAAAACTGGAACGGAGTTCCGATAGCACGGATTCCTCTCCCTAAACAGCGATCAGATCCCGTACCTCCCGTTCAGTCCATGCTGGAGCTCTTTTGCGATTCTGGGACTCCATCATGGTCACCTCTGCTGATGAGCTCTGCATGGTCACCTGCAGCTTGCCACGCTTGCCAAACAGGAAATGAGATTCAAAAGTTCGCGGTTCTTTTCCTGTCTACCTGGCCAGTGCATCTGAGTTGAGAGCGCTGTCCAGAGCGGTCACAATGGAGCACTCTGGGATAGCTCCCGGAGGCCAATACTGTCGAATTGTGTCCACAGTACCCCAAATTCGAGCCAGCAAGGCCGATTTAAGCGCTAATCCACTTGTCAGGGGTGGAGTAAGGAAATCGATTTTAAGAGCCCTTTAAGTCGAAATAAAGGGCTTCATCGTGTGGACAGGTGCAGGTTTACATCAATTTAATGCTGCTAAATTCGACCTAAAATCCTAGTGTAGACCAGGGCTTAGAGCAGGAGCTCCATAGTAATGGGCCCAATGTACTGTAGCATGGAAGGGAACTAAACTCTGCTGACATTATTTAAAATAAACTTTTCTTGGGGTAGGGGAGGGGGGACAAAATTCTGTTTCCTACCAAACAAATCAATATATTTAAAATGTTTAATAATGATTGTGAACATAAAAATAACCATACTGGGTGAGATCAGTGGTCCTGCTAGCCCAGAATCTTGTCTTCCAGCAGTGGCCAATGCCAGGTGCTTCGGAGGGAATGAACAGAACAGGCAATCATTGAGTGATCCATCCCCTGTCATCCACTATCAGCTTCAGGCAATCAGAGGCTAGGGACACCCCGAGCATCTTGTGGCACCATTCCCCCATCATCGGTTACCATGCAGAACAAACCATTATTCTGCAGCTAACGGAAGTTTGTGGCAGAAGGTATCTTCTCTGAAGAAGACATAAACCTTATATTAAATACAGGGACACAGGATGTTTCTGTGCGAAATACTGGGAAGGAAGGAAAATCTCTTGGAATTTAACGTAAGCTATTTTATGTGCGTGTCTCTTAAAACAAAACAAAAAGGTTTCTTTTGTAAAACAAATAATTATACAAATTCTATACAGCACATCTAGAGGATGCAGATTTCCTGAGACAATTCCATGTACAATCCATGCCTCATCAGACATGGCATTTTTGTTTGAAAACTAAATGCTGAAGTTTGGGTAATTGCAATGAGTTTCTCAGCTACATTTTAATACCTTTTCTCCCATCATGCACCAAAGAGTAAGTAGATTCCTCACTTTTTCACTGTTGTGTTCTGTGAGCTTTTAAGTAGGGTGCAGTAAACAGTACATAGAGTCGACTGTTCTAGTTTTGAAATTAGCGTTCCAAATATTGTCTGGCTGCAATGGAGAAATAACCCACACCGTGTGTTTGTATTTAGATACTGGCAAGGTCTTCACGTGGGGTAGAGCAGACTATGGGCAACTCGGAAGGAGTGCAGTGGTTCACGATAGACAAAGAGAGGAGGTGCAGAGATCATCTGAAGAACATGTGGAGCAGTTGTCTAATGTGCCGGTTTCAGTGCCTTGCCTCGCTGGAGCATCTGAGGTAAGGGAAAAAATGTGTCCTTTTCTCAGCTTTAGAATTGCCCCTCTTTGCACAAGTCAAGATGCTCAGAATGATCGCCTGAAAAAACGTTCTTCAAAATGAAGCAAAAACAGCCCTTCCCTCCCACTCAAGTACTCCGAATTTAATTTGATTCAATTATTTGTAATTCTTAAATAATCATTGTGTTCTGAAGCAAGTTTGTTTTTAGGTAGAAGCTGTGAGTGAGGGATTGGAGTTTTCATTAGCAAAAAGATGGCTTTAGATTTGGTATCTTCTTTAGATGTCAAATTTGAAAAGGAAGTAGTTGCTGCTGTAATACTGTGTAACAGATTAGGTATGACCCTAACCATTTTCAGTGTTGCTTTCTTCTGAAGAAATCTGAATATGCTACAGTTTAACCCGTGATCTTCCCGCACTTCACACAGTGTTGTTCATATTGGGTTTCACTCTTAAGGCAGTAGTGTTTTTAGTTTTGAAATGAGAAACAACCTTCCTTTAGTGGGCAGCTGAATCCAGAAGGAACAAATAAATTAGTATAACTGGAAAAAATGAAGTTACACAGTATGAGAAGTAGACTGTCATTTGAATGGAATTGAAGATCTCTAAGCGCATGATTCATAGTCCCTTGACATCAATGGAAAGACTCCCATTGACTTCAGTGGGCTTTAGTTCAGGCCCTAAATGATAGAGAATTTCTCAGAGGTTGGACATCCATGCCATCAACAAGGACTTTGGAAAAGAGTAGTAGACTTATTTTTGAGGAAACTGAGCAGTGAGACTTACAGGAGTCAGAGTTAAACTGTTAACAAAGGAAAGAGCATGGAAAATTTGACACTGTTTAAGGAGTACTTGGTGCTGCAGCCACTGCAATAGAAAGATTTGGCGGAAAACTAGCCTTCTGTACTAAATCAAACAGTGCAAATCTCAAAATTCCTGGAGATCATTAGGTCCTGTAGAACAAAAGCTGGAGTTATTGTTAAACATGAAAATCTTGGTAATAGCCAATATCTTCAGTAGCATTACCATTTTAGAACGCGGAGAGTTTTTCCAGGAATGATTGTCACAGTCCCCAGAGGAACTGCACCCCTTTATGATCTTCTTGGGTGACTACACTTAGGGCTCTATCCTCAAGCTATCACTTTTCTTAGGGTGGGATCCTGCTATCCACTCCCTATAGACCAGGGAGTTGGACTGCAGACTTGTGTGATTCATTGTGATTACCTCAGCAGGTCTGACTTTAGTTCAGTGCCCGCAGTCCTGTTTTCTCAGGGGCAATGATACGGATAACCCGTGACCGCCTGCTTTTATAAACCAAACTACTATTCAGAACAAAACCATTACCAGTGAATCATACCTCAGAAACAATAAACAGCTTATATGCAGGTCTTGGCTTACCAGACAGTCATCCGTCTTCTGCATGGAGATCCTGATAAGGTCAGAGTACTTCAGGCCCTTTTCACAGGGTCTGTCTCTCTCAGTCACAGTTTTATGTCAGTTCTTGAATTGTGTATGATTACCTTTCTCCCCAGATCGAGGCTGTTTCTTCATACAGTTTGACATTTTTTGGCAGATCGAACCAGTATATATTATTGTCTCTGGGGAGTGAAACTTCCCCAGACTAGTTACTGGCACTAGGAATTTTCATTCTCTCCTCCCACCCCCTGCAAATGACTTTGGGTCATGTAGAAAATGTTTCTATCTCCTCATTTAGCCAGGAGTGCAAGCCAGCCCACAAAAATACTACATTTATAAAGTTGATATTGATAGTCTTTGACTATCTCATGCATCCATAGCATCTGTTGAATCTCACTACAATAGTTTTTGAATATTCCAGGCTACCAAAGCATGGCATTTGTCACAATGTCCATGGGAAAATATTGTACAAATAATCTATTTAAGCACCAAATTATACCTTTGTGTAATTGCAGGTAGTGTAAAGGCTTTGGAAAATATGAAACTAGCAATTTGTTCAATAGCTCCTGGGTGCTACAATAACAATACAACATATTATTATAGAGTGCTTTTCATCTCAGGATTTCAGAGCATGTCACACACCTCCATTAAGCCTTGCAACACTCCAATGAGGTGATATCTATCATTACCCTCATTTTTATGGGTAGACTGAGGCGAGAAAGTAAAGTGACTTGTGTAAGACCACACAGCAAGTCAGTGGCAGAACCAGGAATAAAGACTGAGTCCTAGCTCAAAGTCCTTTGCTCTAGTCACTAGACCATGCACAACATTATTACTGTTAACTTTTATATGTATTATGGGTAATGTGTAGAGATCTCAGTCAGGATTGGGGTCCCATTTTGCTAGGTGTTGCACAAACTCATGGGAAGATCTAGCCTCTCCCCTGTGGGAACTTATTATTTAAGAAGACAAGTGATTCATGAAAGGTGGAGTTGTATTCCATTTTTATACACCTTGCAACAGAAAAGATGAGTAAAAATCACCTCAACTTCCTTCAACTGCCCTCATCCGTATTCATCCTTAGGACGGTTGTGGGAGAAGGGTGGTCAAAGCAAGCATCACTGCTGCAGCAGCAGGGATATGGGATGATGGGAAAAGAAGCGAGAGCCGATAAGACCAGGGGCAGAGCTCTGAATGGCTTTGAACAGTTAGGTTACAATAAAACAAATGATGCCAGAACTCAGGTGGAGTCTGCAGTCTACCTATAAGATTTAAGTCTTAATTTCAAGTGCAAATTGCAGTGTGAACGCCACACCAGACAGAGGGAAGAAGGAAGTTGCAGTACATAGGGTGCTTGTCTGGGATTTAGAAAACTTGAGTTCAATTCCTACTCCTGAGGGCATTCTGCTCCAAAAAATTAAAAATTCTGCACACAATATTTTAAAAATCTGCAAGTTTTATTTGTCAATAAATAAATGCAGCGGCTCCAGCATGGCAGTGGGGAGCACAGGCCACTGGTGCACGGAGGTGGGAGATTACCCTGCAGCCTCCCCACCTTCCACCCCAGGGACATGGACTCATTGGTGAGGCTGCACCTGACCCTGACACAGCACAAGGACTAGGTTTGCCCCAGAAACACCCTGGGGCCATGCCCCTCTGCACCAGGCACATCAAGTGTGGAGCAGGAAGGCTTAACCAGGCAGGATCCAAGTGTGGAGGGGCTCAGTGTGGGGGGATCCAGGTGTGGGGTGAGAGGAGTCTGTGTGGGACAATCTGGGTGCAGGCAGCTCAGTGCGGGGTCTGGATGTGGGGGATCTGGATGCACAGAGGTTCGTTGTGGGGGTGGGGATTTCCAGGTGCAGGGGCAATGGGACTCTGCTGGGGCTTCCAGGTCAGGGCTCAGCAGGGGGGGTCTGGGTGCTGGGGGCTCCAGATGCAGAGGTTGAGGTTCAGTGGGGTGGGATTCAGGTGTGGAGGGCTAGGGGGGTTCTGGGTTTACAGGGTGAGGCTTGGCGGGGGTGTCTCAGTACGGGAGGTCCAGATGCATGAGAGTTGGGTGGATGGGGGAGCAGCTTCCTCTACAGTGACCCCTCCCCCTGCAGTTGAGGAGCAATGGGGGCAGGAAGCAGGGGAGGATGCTGAGCTTCCTGCAGCTGGGGGAGGTTTCTGGGAGTGGGTCTGACACAGCCCCAGCCACTCCTTGTAGGGGAAGGGGAAGTCCCAGTCCTTTTCTGCCTTCAGCCCAGCCATGACTAGCTGCTGATCCCGGCTCAGGGTAGGCGCCACTGGCTGGTGTGTCCACATCCCTGTGGTGATTTACCTCTCTACCAGCTGCTTTAGTGCCTGAAACAATGTACCTGCACAGTTAGGGAATGGTGCATGACTGCTCTTGCAGCTTCCCTTTGCTTCCCTGTCACAAAGTCATTTTTCTGCGGGAAAGCAAAGAAATCTGCGGGAGACATGAATTCTGCACACGTGCAGTGGTGCAGAATTCCCCCAGGAGTAAATTTCCTGCTCCACCACAGGCTTCCTGTGTGATTTATTCTCTCTGTCCCTGAGTTTCTCATCTGTAAAATGGGGATAATAACACTGCCCTACCTCTTAGGAGTGGTGTGACATGAAAAATTGCAAGGCACTGAGTACCTGAGATAGTAAAGATGTTTGGTTGCTTGTAGTTCTTTAGGGAAGTAGGTTCTAAATACCCAAATCAATGAAAGCGACAATACCTAGATGTACAGTAATTCATAAACAGCAACAAACTTCACCTCTGACCTGGGGAATTGAATGGTTGTAAACATCTGCTTTTCCTTTTGACTCCAGCTATCCTCCTGCATGTGCTTGTGTTCAGTTTATCCTTCACTAATGTTAGACTCTCAGCCTGGGAATTTGAATTCAAGATAATCAGTGCCCATCTTCATCCCCTCAGAATTGACAGATTAAGCAGCAATGGCTGACTTGACTGCCTTTCCTGCTGTTGCCACCTCAAGGAGAGGCCTGAGTTAAACATCTGTGCTTTGAGGTAGCCCCTTTTCAGTGAGACTAGGGAGGTTTAGGAGAAAACATTAAGAAGAGAGCAGAGTTTAAAGGAATACAGATGGACTGATTCAAATGCAGTATTGGAAAAGAAAGGACAGATTGAAGTTAACCTTAACTCCCAATGTTCAGTTTGGGAGACAGTTCTTAAAAATAATATAATCTTTATCCTGAGTAGAGCCAGGTGATATTGTTTTGATGAACAGAAATTTTGTTGAAAAATGCATTTTTTGAGGGGTTGGAAACAAAACTGAATTTTTCCCCCCGGAAGTGTTGAAACAAAGTGTTTCAACATTTCACTTAGAAAATGTTGACATTTTGTTTAAAAAGTCATTTTTGAAATGCCATTTTGAGTCAATATTCAAAATGTTTTAATTAGACCTGAACAAAATGATTTGGCAAACCAAAAAATTCCATTTCTGTTTTAAACAATCCTTTTTTTGGATTTTTCAGTTCAGCCATTGAATGGAAAAATCAGTTATTCACTTATCTCTGAATCCTGAGCCTATTTGTAAGTTTATATAAAATTGATTGAAATAAATTTTTGGCAAGGC